CCAAAAAATAGCAAGGCAGCCCCCCATCTTAAACTCCCATGCAACTCAGACTAATCTGAGCACAACAAAGCCCCCACCCAAACAGAACACTCCCCCATCCAATCAGAGCACAGCCAACCCCCCATCCAATCAGAGCACAGCCAACCCCCCATCCAGAGCACAGCCAAGCCCCTAACCAATCAGAACACACCTCCACCCAATCAACACAGCCAAGCTCCCACCCAATCAGTTCATACCCCCACTGGCAGTTAAAAGGAAGAAACAGCTAAGACCACACATTGCTCCTCGAAACACGAAGCTGAAAACACCAGCCTGAAGATGACGAATAGGACTTCGTCGAAACGTTGCACACACACACACATATATATATAATAACGTTAAAAATCGAAGAGTAACGATATATGTTTAATTAGATTAAGAATGCATTTTTTGGAATAATAATTGACTTTGATGGAAATCATGTACTGGAATCGAAAAAATGTTGAGTTTTTTATTTTTAGAGTGGGATTTTGAAGTGTTTAAATTAATTAGATGATTTTTTTGTATATGAGTATAGACTTGATAAGGTGGAAGTTGATGTAATGAATTGATAATTAAGGTTTAACATTGTTTTTTTTAACCAAGTTGATTAAGAGGTTGAATGTATCTGGAAAAGATATTCGAAGTGACAATTTGTTGATGTAAAACTATACTTGATTATGGTAATTTTAAACTGACATATATGTTTAATTAGACTAAGAATGCATTTTTTGGAATAATAGATTGACTTTGATGGAAATCCTGTATTGGAATTGAAAAAATGTTGAGTTTTTTTTTCTTTTCTCTTTTTTAGAGTGGGACTTTGAAGTTTTTAAACTAATTAGTTGTTTTTCTTCTATATTAGTATAGATTTGATAAGGTATGATAACTAATTGGATGAAGGTTGAAGTGTGTGTAATGAATTGATAATTAAGGTTTAACATTTTTTTTAACTAAGTTGATTAAGAGTTTGAATGTATCTGGAAAAGATATTTGAAGTGACAATTTGTTGATGTAAAACTATATCTGATTATGGTAATTGTAAACTGACAAAGTTGTAAAACAGGTTTAGTAGTAATAGAAATTTAATTTAGAAATGGAATATATGAAATGTACTATGTTATTTGAAGGAGATAGAGAGATGACAGTGAATGTACTAAGTTGAGCTGTTTATTTATACTTGTATTTTGGAATGTTTGTTTACCCAAACACCACAGTGTGTTTTAAGTATTTTTTGTTAAAATTAAAAAACCAATAAAATATATTTTTTTTAAAAAAGAAGTGTGAAATATATATACATATATGCATATTGTTGACATGGCCATTGCCCTCATACCCATTAGACTCCCTACCTTAACCCATTTTAATTTTTGAATACTTAATTACGTGGAAAGGTGATAAGTAAATCAGCAAACCACTTTGTATTTACAAGAGAGGCATTTGATTTTGTAGAAAATAAAAATGATGGATGAACACTACCTCACACTGTCTGGAAAAAAGAGCAAAGATTTTGTAAGTGCTTTCCAAAATTCTAATGAGCCTTCTACGCCTAAAGGAATGACTATAAGGATGGTTCGGTTTCTGTTCTTTCTGGTCAGAGAATTGAATTTTCGGGAAACACTGAACCTTACAACCGAACTGTACAGTGTGTAAATGACACAGCCAGGAAAAACTTCACCATTTGATTCAGGTAAATTTATTATCCTGACTTCCAAATTGAGGCCAGATAGATCCAACTCTTTCTGCCAGTCTAGGGATATGACTTACATGTTTATATAAAAGATGTAGAAATGTATTTCTTTAGAAAAGAAAATAATGCCAAATAACAACAGATTCATATCTAATAGAATTAATTAAAATATCAAAAATAACCTTTGGTGGGAAGCTAACGGTGTTCCATGTGCCTGGATGTATAGTCATGCTGGCCACCTGACGATGGAAATACCTTCAGAAATGCTGGCTCCTTCGGCTAAGAAACGGTAATGAGCACCATCCTCTAGAGTTGGACATGACTGGACAGGGGAAACTTTTACCTTTATCAAAAATAATGTGCAAGGGTGTGAAAGCTCATTTGCTGTGTCCTTGATTTAAATCTAATGTAGCTGTTAGCCTGCAGTGATATAATTCATACAGTGCTTACTTTAGCTACTTAGAGCATTATGGAGAAAGCAGAGCAGATAATAACAACTCTGTTCTAATTACACTGGCTACCTCTGTTTGGCTTCTATGTAGTGCTGGCTTTGAACTTTAAAGCACTCAACTTTGCAAGACCAGGTTACCCAAAGAACCTCTTGCCTCCTGAGAACCTGCTCAAGATTTGATCTCGGGACCGTCTGTTGCATTGATAAATTATTGAATTTAACAGAAATATTACCTAGTTTTTACTGGGACTTTCTTTCCATCACCGGCCAAACACATACTTCCTAAAAGCTCCCCAAAACTATGTATGTAGGACACACTTAACTTATATAGTGGTATCTTGGTACTCACCTGCTTTGAAACTTACCAGTACATTTTGACACAAAAATTCTCATTGTTTGGTACTCAATACACAAGCTAGAACTTGTTGGTGTCGGCTGCCATGTGGCTCACTACATTATTCCTTGTGGGAAAAATTTGTTTGGTACTCAGTGTTTTTAGTACTCATTGCACCTCCCGGAACCAATTAATGATGAGTGCCGAGATACCACTGTATATTGGATGAAGTCATGTCTTCGGTTTTTACAGTACCTCAAACCAGAAATCAACTAATTAGGCCAAGGAAAATTTTGAAAAAAAGCCCTTCTCCAAGATTAAAAATAAGCTTGCAGCTACATGATGTCTTACTAAACTTGGTGAAGCATATTGTATGAAAACAGTCAATGTGTGAAAATAGGTTTTCATTATTGTTTAGTTCAGAATCCAGTAACAGAAATGTGCTGCTCCAATAAAGGCGGGCTTCATTCAGCCATCAATTTTAATTCCAGTTCAAAAGAATCAAACATAAGTCATATTGAGTTAGGGAAACAATCTTCTTTATTTTTATAATTATTGATATTATGCTTTGAATATTTTTACATTTTTCTTTCTATTTTTTTCCCTAAAGTGTCTGATCTTTTAAGATTTTTTTATCACAATGGCCAGTAGAAAAATAACCAAACTCTTAAAAACAAAGGCGCTCTTTAGCGCTTCCCATAAAGATCAGAAGAGAATCGTGGAACAGTGCAGAGTGGAGACACTTTACAGTATGGGGGTGAGGAAGCAATGGGTTCAGAGCATATCACAAAGGGACTCACAGTTTATTATGTACAGAGCAATTAGCATCAATGGCTGTGCAAGTGCCCTGCTTTGAATTAAACAATTGGGAATGCGAGGCTCAATCATAAACCCTGTATAGAGGTTTGTAGTAAATAAGTTTTCTCCAGTCTGCTTAATTTTAATTTATACTTGATTGGCTTCTGTTATGACCCACCAAATAGCAAAACCTCTTTGGGAGTATAATGGAACTGGGAAGTTGGAACTGTTGCTTCATCTTTCCAGTTGGGAATAAAACCTAGGAATTTGAGGGAAATTATTGTTTTTTTCTGTGAAATTTATACTCTAGCAAGTGATTTAGAAAATCATTTCCCAAAAAAAGCGATGCGGGAAAAATATTTTAAAAGACACTCAGTCTTGGTTGTTTCATCTCAGTAGTATATCCTGTTAAATCTAGTTTGTTCTACTTGTTATCCCAGTCTCCAATATACACCCAATTGACTGGCGTTGCTTAGCAATTCACTGAAGATACCAAGATTCTTCTGCCTGTTTGGATTGTACAAAAGTATGGATTGGTATTTTGATAAAACTTTTTGGAAGCTGCCAGACCCTGCTAATATGATGGCTTTAGGTTGGTAGGTCAAAAGTCATGCACCCTTTCCTTATGTGATCTCCTTGCTCCCTTAGCTCTCCATTTGGAAGCATAGTCTCCAGGCTCACTTTCCAACATGTCCCATCACTTCTAGAGAAGTGATACATCTTCTCAATATTGTACCATGATAAAAGTGCTTCCACCCCCACAAAAGGGTCTGGCCTAGAGGCAAAAGTATCTACGCCTGGTTGCCCCTTTTCTTCAAAGCTTGCCAGTTTCTGGATTGAATATTGCAGGTGTATACTCAGAACACAATGAATGGCATGTTTTAAATATCAGGTTTTTCTCTCGCTCACGTTTTCATATATCAATCAAACCAGATGATTCACAAAAGAATCCAGATGATTGTCTTTATAACTGAACTCTTTTTTCTTCCTCCATTTCTTTTCCCTATAAATTCCACTGTATCATGAAAGAACTAGAACAGTGATGACGAATCTTTTAGAGACCGAGTGCCCAAATGGCAACCCAAAACCCACCTATTTATTCGCCGGGTGCCAGGTGGGTGTGGCCCACTGGGTGGGCGTGGTTGCAGTGGTCATGGCAGACTGGGTGGGTGTGGCCAAGGTGGGCGTGGTCACCTCGATGTTGCTCGTGGGGAGGAATGCCTGTGGGGGCCGGGCAGGGTTGGGGGAGATCCAGAGAGTCTCTGGCAGGTGGGGTGGTGGGAAGGAGGCTCGTCCTGAGGGGGTGAGGCACGGCAGGGTGCGGGTGCCATTGTTACAGGGCAAGGCTCGGCAGGGGCCAGGGTGGCTGCTGCCTGACACCATCAGCCCCTGCACACAGAGGCCAGCGAGCGCATGGGGGCCGACAATGTCCGTCAGCAGTCACAGCCTGCCGGCCCCTCGACTGGCACACTCTGGGGCTCCGTAGCCTGCTGCCAGCAGTTCAGAGAAGACACCTCTGAGCTGGATGGCCGGCCGACAGCTGAGGAGGCGATGCAGTGGGTCATGCCCGGGAAAAGGAGAGCATGCAAGGCCAGGAGGGTTGGGATGGGGGGGGAAGGGAAACCTGCAGTGCTGGGATGCATCCGGCCACATGGGACCTCAGCGAGTTAGCAGGTGGCTGGTTGAAGAGGGACGGTTGCCATCTCTGGGGCATGGTGTGCGTGCCCATAGAGAAGGGTCTGAGTACCGCTTCTGGCACGCGTGCCATAGGTTCGCCACCACTGAACTAGAACCATCTCCAACGTACTTAACACCACTTTGATTGATCTATAGCTGTTATCAATAAATTAATAAACTGACTTCCCCATCCTGCCTCAGCATCTTAATCCTGTGTGCTTTACAGTTATTAAAATATTTTAAAGGAACTGTAATTTGCTGCAGGAGTGAGAGGGTGGGCATTTACTCTAGAGCAGACTTTAAGCAGCTGGTGCCATCTCCAGATACAATGGTTATGCAGACTGAGGATCCAAAGGCAATCAGCTTAGGGAAGAATGTTCTAGAGCATTTTAGATATTGGCTTGGCTGATGTAGGAGTCCAGTAGTTACAGATTTGATTGCAGGGACGTTTCAGGGTTCAGATCCAAATTCTAGGCTCTTTCCTACAAGACTGATATTGGTGCTCTACTGACAGCATCCAAAGAAGGTGCATCACTATGGCACCCAGAATGAAAGTTGGAGCCTCTTGGTCTTCCAGTAGCAGGGAAGGATGTGTAAAGAAAGAAGACTCTTGTGTTACACTGGACTGACTTTTCCCTTCATACCTCATCTTCAACAGAAAAAGGGTGAGGGTTCTGTAGCAAAACACCAAGTAGACTGACAGTCCTTCAGAAGGCGGAGGAGCAGTGAGAGTTCTGTTCAGATTATTTTATTTGCTGTTATCTAGATTCTTGGGGAGAAGAAGAAATCTGACTTCTCACCACATGCACAGACATACACACAATCTATTATTTAAGAAATGTCCTATCCTTGAAACTATTTGTCAGGGATTAAAGAACAGAGAACTGAGCAACAGCTACTGTAATTTCCAAACTAGTAAATTGATGGTAAAAAAAAATGCAGGCTTCTCCAGCCAAAGCCCTGATCTCTCTCTATGCAGTCGTGATTGGAAATGTTTCCCTTTCTGTACCCTAAAAACCCAGGAAGGCTGACACATTTAGACATCCACAAATCTCAAGGGGAGGGAGGATTACTGGCCCATAACTGCATCCATTTTTATCCCGTGGCTGGGGGGGAATAGATATATGCCAATCATCCATGCCCTGATGTTGATCTGGACAGTAGGCTTAGCTCTTAAGACATATAACCTACATTTCCACAGAGAAGCAAACAATCTGTTGCTGTCCAGCAACAAAGCCACTCAGTCATCCTATCTTGTGGTCTACTCCTTCCCTTTTCACTTTTGGTGGAACAAAAATAAGTTTGTTACGTATTTCAGTAGACAGCATGCTTTCTGGGCACCCATCTGAAAATAATCCGCCTCTTAAAAAAGCACCAGTTCATAAACAGAACTGAACAAATATACACGGCTTGGACAGACCTGAGAATACTTCATTAAAAAAAAACAAAGACATCTCCTTAGCTTATGGGAGATACTGTATGCATCCATCGTGCTCTATATGAATCCCCACATGTACCGGCATTTTAAGTTGTCTGAAGGGATTAACTGCCTACCATATTATCGCCCATCTCTTTAGCCTTACACCCATTGCTGGCAATTCACACACACGTGTAATCCACATGCTCGCACATATCACATAGGCTCACGCGTAGGTTGCCCTAATGGAGGAAAGGAGAGCCATCCCCCCAACTGCAAAGAAGACCTGGGACACAAAGATTGTTTTTCAAAAGGAAACTTGCTGCAGTGCTCTTTAAGAGAGGCCCTGCCCCTTGTGGTCCGTATCCAGAAGTGTGCAGGGTGACAGGAGGGCTGCCCTCATTCAGCAGAGGTGTCCCTGGGGCCTCAAAAGGTATCAGAGCACAGTGTTCTCCGTGCAGCTGCCGCCCAGTGATGAGCGGAATGCCTGCAGCTGGGAGACCCCGTGAAGATGGACACAGGCAGCTGCAACCACCAAGACGTGGAAGATCTGGTGAGAATGGAACTAGAACGAAAGGAGAAGAGAGGCGTTGGAGCCCAAGCTGCCTCATATTGACCATCACCACATTATGAGGTTTCTTTGTGTTCTTCACATTCACAAATGAAACAGAAAACAAAGTAGCTGTGGCTTCTGCAGCTTGTATGCCTCTAGTTAGACCCACTCTTCCTCTGGGTATGCAGAAAGAGGGGGGGGGGAAGGAGGCGACAACAAAGAAATATGCTAATAAAGGAGAATATTTGTAGTTCAGGGTTGGTATGAGGGATCTTTGGTGCTATCTGAGCTTGCTTGTTTTCTTGCAGATGTTTCATTACCCAAAGTACGTAACATCATCAGGACTAGTGACTCAAAGAAATATGCAGTGAAACCACAGTTATTTTACTTCCCATTATAATAGATTTAACAGTAAAAAAAAAAGTGCAGTGAAGCTACAGTTATTTTACTTCCCATTACAGTAGAAGATTTAACAGTAAAATCCGTCAACCCACAACCTGGCTATGCTTCCTGCAAACCTCATGAAATTATTGCAACCATACAGTAAAAGGCATTTAGAGTACTGTAGAAGTTTTAGCCATCTGGACTGGATGACATCTAAAAGCTTTAAATTATTATATGTCTGTGAGCCAAATAACATCTGGCAGGTTGATGTAGCTTTGAAGATTTTTATGGCAGTAGGAATGTTCTTGCCTCCTTTGGTGAACAAAGCCCAGAGCATTGATGCTTCATCAGAGATACGTTTCATCTTTTTGTGCCAGATTGTAGAAGCTTCAAATGTTAGGCCAGGTTATTTCAAGGATGAAATCTTGTCTATATTATTATTATTATTACTATTATTATCATCATCATCATCATCATCTACCATTGAGGTTTGTAGTGCCTAAATGTCTCCAAAAACAAAAAAACCTTTTTGGTTTTGGAATAGTTTATTGTGATTTTTTCTTCCCAAATTTTTCCCCGCTAGAGCGTGTAGATTTTTTCTAAGGCCAACAGGGAAGAATGGCTGCATTATCATCCAGCATAGTGAGTGGTTTATTTATTGTTAACTTTAGTAGGTGGAATTCTGCTTTGATTAGGTTTGTAACTCTTGACTTCACAAATATGAAAAAGAAGAAGGGCCAGAAAGTGACCATTACTACCACATCTAGGTCATAGGTCTGAGAACTGGGTTGGTCTCTGCTGTAAGGGGGATATTTTCTGCCAAAGGAACAAGTACACTGCCCTGAAATGCATCTGATCAGCTGTGATTGGCCCAGCAGCTGAAACCCTTTTTGGACAGAGTTGCCCTGACCTCAGTACACCATGTCCTAGTGATCCCACTTAGATCACTGCATTGCTCCAGATTACTACTGGGCACTGTGTGGTTCTGCTCTTGGAAGTGATTAGTAGTTGAAAATGGAGAGATAAGGCTGTAGAGAAGAATATACTTCACATAATGCTAATCCCCCAAATAATCACACTAGGTACCTATATGTATCAGCTAGATGTTAAAGTTTTAGTATGGATGTTTAAGACCATTAACAATTTGGATCCTGATACTTCAGGAAGCGCTTATCCTTACATGTATTTGCCTTGAACATTAAAATCTGCTCTCAGGAACCCACAGCTGAGAGAGATGGACTAGGTTAAAAAATCAGAGAGGATTCTGCCTTCAGGATTTGTGATTTAAGGTCCCTAGCCGAGTCAAGCATTAAGAGTACTCATACTCTGGTTTCTCTTCAGATCATATAAACCTGTCATCTCAGTGTTTGACAGCACTTACTGTGTTTTTCATCAATTTTATATACTGTGTTTTCCCCAAAATAAGACCCAATCAGAAAATAAGCCCTAGCATGATTTTTCAGGACGCTGGTAATATAAGCCCCAGTCCAAAAATATGCACCAATTAAGATTGTCAGCCAAACAGACACATTTAGTACCATATTTCCCTAAATATAAGCCCTAACTGGAAAATAAGCCTTAATGCATCTTTTGGAGCAAAAATTAATATAAGACCCTGTCTTATTTTTGGGAAAACATGGTACTTACATGCAAACATAATTAAATACATTAATTTTGCATATATTTGACTTGGTTTTTTTTTTAAAAAAAATCTTGCTTTTATGAATTGCACTCTTGTCGCATCCTCTGAGCAGGCTATCATTCTCCTGCTTAAAAAAAGGGAAGGGGGCAAAATGTTACTCTACCTATTCTAGGAATGTTGCCACATCACCATTTCTCTTGTTTGCAAAAGCATTGCCTACCTTGTCTGATTTGGTATGTGCCCTCACAGCTTGCCAAAGCAAAGTATTTATTTTAATCTGCCTCCTGATATTTTGGACATGGCAAAATCAGGTGTCAAATCTTGGTATTTTACCTCAGAACAAAGCTATGGATTTTACCAAGAGGAAAGTTAATGTGGAACTCATATGAAGACTCACTCTCAGTTTCAGCTTAAATACCTCCATCCCTCTTCCATATTTTCTTGTCAAAGACATACCCAGATGTCACACTTGCCCGGGAAGAAACGTTCAGGAATGCGGGCAGCATACAAGCCCACTCCCAAGATGTAGAGGACTGCCATGAGGAAGAGCCAACCAATCTGTCCCACTGTCGTGGCCTTGATAAAACCTTCCGTGATCATGAAATGGAGGGTGGGCACCAGTCCACTCAGCCCTAGGCCCAGAAATACACCTATCCCAAAAAGAAAGAAAGAATGTAACTTGGAAGGACAGTTCCATGGCTTTAACATCAATCCAGCTAATAAAATCTTAACCGCCAAACTGGAGTTTTAATGTTGATAATGAAAGAGCAGCTGTCACAAAGTTAAATAAGAAGCAGACACATTTTTTCATATTGAACTGATGATGTTGGCATTGGGTATCATATTATGATAGTTATTGTTTCGTTCCTGCATTTTTTATATTAACTCAATATGCCAGCCATTCCAACCCTGGTTCCCTCCAGATGTGCTGGAATTACAACAACTTTTTCATGTTGGTCTTTCCTCACATTTGGACAATGTTAGGTCTGGGAAGGTTGCATTATGCTAGGTAAAGTCCTCTATATTATATAATAATTAGTTTGGTTTCCAATGATCAGGTTATGAGTGTTGTTTGTATACCAAAAAGGGCACAATTGAAAACTACAAGAAAGGTTTTGGAATCTTGACACCCCTGAGATTTGCAGAAGAATAGAAATAGGGGATTCCAAAAGCCACACAAACTGTTGTGGGAAGGGATGGGTGGAAAGACCAGGCAAAGGAAATGGAACCAAAAGATTAGAAAGCAACCAACAGTATTCCCCATCTTTTATAGGTTTCTCCACATAATGTAGCAGTGTGAGGACTACTTATGCACTCAGATTAAGAATAGTTACCTGCCCGCACGGCCCGATACTGTGGTGTGGCAAAATGATCCCACTGCGACACCGTGATAGCAGTTATACCCAGCACACAGATGATGATGAGGTAGATGAGCTGGGGTTGTGGTGAGCAGTAGAACGAGTAATACAACCAAGGAACAAAACTGCCCATGGTGAGCAGGGCAATTCCAGAGTAATCTAATCTGCATGGAAGGTACCACAGAAAGCAGGGTGATCAGTAGACATCAGGCAGAGGGCAGGGCTTGGTGTGTAAAGTTTAAAATACAGGAGCCTTTAAACTATTTTACTAAAGTACAGGTCTCTATAGTCACAGTGTGGACAAGATATTGTGAAGGACCTTTGGCCTTGATTCTACTGCCAAAATGATCCATGTTATGGGAAGCATGTATGCAGACATCATAGATAGCAAGGATTGTACCTACATGTCGGTTTCTACAAGGAAGAATCACATATTTTGCCACATTATGAACTAGTAACTGATGTTGTCATCTTCTAAAATGGAGGCATTCTTCATAGGTATCCCACTATAATCCCTGCCGTTTAATTTTTACAGGTTTCAATTGCACTAATCAGAGACAAGAAAGGAATCGTTACGGGTATTACAAATGGCCAGGGCTCTTTCTCATGCCTGCACCCCTTGTGGCCCACTGTGTCAGCCTTCAGATTCCCACCTAGGACAGCCTTTGACTTGGCTGCCTGGGAATTGTCCTCTCAACAGAATCAGGAAGTGCTCAGGAGGTGAAAAGCTGCATTAGACCAAATGAAGCTCATCTGTTATTGGCTCAAGAAGTCTTGAGGAAAAGTGCTGTCTATTGGCTTCCTTCAGATAAGCAACAGCACAGTGACAGCCCCTTCTGAAATCCCCCCCCCCCAATATCTCTTGTGTAACATTTGTGTATGGTATATTTACCATAAATGTACTTTGTGACTTACTGTCCTTGGGAACCATTTATAGCAGTGTTTCTCAACCTCAGTCACATTAAGGGATGTGGACTTCCACTTAGAATTTTGGGAGTGGAAGTCCATACATCTTAACATTGATGAGGTTGAAAAACACTGATTTATAGTGCTGCAAAGAACATCACTTTAGGGGCATAGTTTCAAAAATGAATCAGATGACTCCCAAGATACAACTTCAATTGGAGCATAGCATTTTTTATTAAGTTCCAAATGTTGAAGCATCAAGTACGAAGTCCTATCAGGACCCTGGATTGTTTCCAGATGCTGCATGGTGTTAGAGGCCAGCCCAGACAATGGTATACCAGAGTCTTGATACATCTCCATTACTTGCTGCTTGTGTACCACAGAACAGAAGAAAAAGGTCGGGGGTAGGGAGACTGGCAAACTCCTGACAAATTCCAATATCTGATTGGCCATATACTTTGGCTTGATGGGGATTTTCTTTTACAATAAGAAAGGCAGTCCAGTTATCAGCCAAAGAAGAAATTTGTCTTGTATACGCTAAGCATAAGTCCTCACACTTCGTTATGAGAGAAAATATATTGATTCTTAATTCTTGCCTGCTGGTCACATGCCCCAGACGTTTGCAGGAGGATGGAGAGAGGAGCGGAAATCAACTTACTTGGAGAAGGTACGAGAAACTTTCTCAGAGTGGCAATAGACTGTGTGGAATAGCCAGGAGAAACAGAGACAGAGAATGGCTCCGAGGAAAAACATGCCAATGACCACACGCTCCTGGATGGGGGCCACATATTTCATATTAGGACTGAACATGTATCCAATGCCCAAAACCAGGAAGAAGAGGAACCCTGAGGAAAGGGAAGAAAATTACCAATATATCAATGTTTCTGCATGTATTCAAATACTGGGACATGCTTGGAAATGGGAGACATACATCTGGTTTGGCAGGGATTGCAAGGATCCTTTCTGACTCTACCCCTGAAGAGACTCCATTTCAGGAACTTCATAGACCTTTTTCAAGTTGGGAGAATCAATATGTGAAATGGGAGACTGAAGAAGTACAAGTGGCTTCTGGTGTGAGTCATGCCTGACTGAAGATGTCTCTGAAAACAAGTGAAAACAACCGCTATGAAGACAAAAGACCAGTGAATAGATTGATTGTTCGAGTCTCTCCAGAAAAGGGGAGAATTGGAGATTGCCTATGAGTGCTCTGGATGGCAACACCTCATGAGAAACACAAAACAAAAGTCTCCAGCTGGTTTGACCATCAGGAGCCAAACAAGACAACATCTTTGTTCTGAGCAGCAGTGTAACCTTTCATAAGGTCACTTTCTAATCACATTTGGAAAGGTTCAATTTAATTATTTATGGATGTTAGGAAAGGTTCAATTTAATTATTTATGGATATTAGAGACCTTCAAAATGGCAAGCTTAATTTGACACCTGGTGAATTTTTCTTTCTTTGATTTAAGAAACTTTAAGCAAGAGACTTAAGAATTTAAAACAAATTTGAAAAATATAGCAGTAGTGTATGGCATTTACAAAGTAAACTGGTGAAAGCTTTGAAGACTTCTAAATGCCAAAGAGTGATGCAAGATTGAACCCTGTGGTTTGCACAGGAATGATTTAAAGATCAAGATTGTACACAATGAAAAGAAAGAATGTAAGGTTGGATTATTTGACCGGGGATAAACTATTTGTTTGATATTTCAAGAAAGTCGCAATGGACTTTTTGCTGAATGAGAATCCAAAAGATGATGATTTCTGGACTGTATATAGATTAAAAGCTGTGGGGAGAAGAGGTGGGTTGGTTGTTGTTTTTTGTAACTTTAAAAGAGGATGAAAAGTTATTATATTTGCTTATGCTTGGTATAATGAAGGTTGGATGCCACTAATTTATTACTGTCTTGTTTGGTTTTTCTGCACCTTCTGAATGCTTATTTTTTTTCTTCCAGATTAGTTTGTATTAGCTTTACTATAATAATGTTATTGAAGTTTTATTAAAAACTTCAATAACATTATTAGAGATAGAAAGTAAGCAGAAGAGGGGAAGGCCAAATACTTGACCAAAGCTGGCCACTGAAGTAGCCCCTGGGTTAGTCCTGCATTTATCATGTCACCAATAAACCTGATTTGGGACAACAATGGTCTTTCAGACTGTAGGACCTGCTTTTACACATAAGTCCTCAAATCTATGTATTTCAAGAGATGGAGCATGGTAGTTAGAGAAACTTTCTAGCATCAGCCAGTGTCAGATCAGATTTGGTGCTGGACATCTCATATTGAAAGAGGATTTTAAGATCTAAGAGTTCATTGTTCCCAAGAAACTGGGCAGATGTGAATATGTGACAAGGCATCCAAGAGTAAATGTTGAAGACACTATCGTCACTGGGGTAGTTGCAAAAATGTATGTCTCCTCAATGTAGAATTCAAATAGCTTTTTTTAAATGCTTTTTTTATTTAGTACGCATGTTTTCTTAATGCAAAATTGTGCCAACTAGATACTGGTAGCTCCAGCAAGTTGTACAATAAGGATACAATCCATGGACCAAAAAGCTTTGTAGGGCAGTAGAATCAATTTATCACATACAAACTGGAACTCATGAGACTTCCTCTGTGTAAAAACAAACTTCTTTCTCTACCCTGTAGTTACTTTTATAGCAGTGGAAGGGCAATTTGCTTTGGCTTCTGGTGAGTGAAAGAAGAGGACACTTATATCCTGATGTCCTTTCACTCCCTAGCGATTACTGTGGAGGGAAGATAGAGGAGGACACTTGGCTTAGAACAGATCCAATTTTTTTTTCATATTGCCAAGGATTTTTTTTTTTTACAGATGACAGCAGACATCATTTTCAGTCATTTTTAGCAAAAATTGGGGTGGGGGGGGGACTGAGGGATGAGACATTGATCACTTGGAAGTTCACAAATTAGGGCAACCCTACAGACCAAAAATATTGTCACTCTCACAGTAAACCATGGGATTCCCCCCACCCACCCAGGACCATAAATGACTTTTGCTAGGATATATAGGTAGTCCTCAACTTACAAACACAATTGGGACCAAAATTTCCATAGCTAAGGAAGGCAGTCATGAAGTGAGTTTCGTCCAATTTTATGACTTTTTTTTTTGCCCCGGCTGTTAAGTGAATCAGTGCAATTGTTAAGTGAATCTGGCTTCCCCCACTGATTTTACTTGTCAGAAGTCATTTGGGAAGGTTGCAAATGGCGATCCCAGGATGCTGAATTGTAGTAAATACACACCCATTGCCAAGCACCCAAATTTTAATTATGTGACTGTGGGAATGCTGCAACAGTCATAAATCTAAGCAATCTTTTTCTGTGCCATTATTACATTGAACTGGTAGCTAAATGAATGGTTGTAATTGAGGACTACCTATATAACCTACTTGGTTCATATAAGATGGTAATACAAACCCAGGCAAATCACGATCCAGTCAGTCACTAAATCTCATTGGTGTCAGGTGGACACCACTGGAGAGTCATAACTTTTAGCCAAGTTTCATGCTGGATGTGTTTTGTTAAAAAAAAAAACACAGTGAAAAAATGGAAACCAGAGTTTTATGCAATGGAATGCAGTTTGTTTCCCATCCTCTTTGTTCCCCCTCAGTCTATAGAGCTATATAGTCCTCTGCCCTGTGACTGACCAAGCAGATGAGTCCAGATGTTGCCAGTCTCGGTGTGGAGCCGGAAGATGCTGCGGAAACAGGCACGGAAGGAAGGCATGGGTGGCCTATGTCCATGCAGGAGAAAATCATTGTCTTTCAGCCAGTCAGGCAGCACATCGTAAGGCATGACACGCCAGCGGCCTTCCCAAACCTGCAACAGCAGAAGAGAGGCTAGAAGAGACATAGAAGAAGCTTGCTTACCTCTCCTTCCATGAGCTGAGAGCATCAAAACAGTGAGTGCATTTTTATACTTGGAGATACGGTATTCCTCTTGGGAAAAAAAACCCCAACAACCTGGGAAACAAGAATTTCTAGCGTTTTCCCAAAGAATTTTTCTAGTGTTCATCTCATTGAGTTTCCAAGTAGAGCCTTTTTTTGCCTTCATTCCCTATAAGCCTGGGGGGGGGGGGATTTTGAGGAAATGTTCAAGATTCCAAAGTGCTTTGAAATTAGGGCAAAGTTCCGCAGACCAACTCCCCCTCTCCCCCCCCCCAAGATTTAGATGGGGCCCTCCAAATGTTCCAAGCAAATTGCTATTTTTCATGCCAAAGTGGAGGAGAGTAATAATGTCTACCAAGAATGAATTATGTTAAAAGGATGTATTGAATTTAATGTGATTTAAAATAAATCTTCTAGTTTAAATGCACTGTCTGGACCTGTCTGTCTCTTTTTTTCTGATGCACAGCCACCATATGCCACCCAGAGTTAAAGTGTGGACTTCATCCTGAAAAAAACCTTGAACACCCCTAAGGTAAATCAAACCAAATGAACTACAAGGGCATATAGGTATTTAGTATGAAGACGCACTCACTCGCCTTGATCCTGTATTTTAAAAATGAGTAGTGGGGTATCTTCCAGCTGATATTTAATTTTAAAAAAACTATTATTATTTTTTTGCATTGGGAAGTTCCCAATAATCTCCAGTTAGAACCTCTTGCTATAAGAAAAGCCTACCCCCCCCCCAACCTCACAGAACTGTTATGAGGATAAAATGGGCAGGATAAAAAGGAATGCTACATCTATTGACTTGAGCTCCTTGAAGAAAAACAATATATAATTATTATTTTATTATTTTTAAAGATCATGATTAAACCACAGCAGGCATCATCAATCGCTTTCATGCTCTTCTTTAACAATGCTCTGGGTTCACGATCCCTTCTGCTTTGCTTGTTCCTTTGTTAGATGCAGAAGCCAGTGAGCAGAGCTAGCCCTGCTTCCCAACAGCATTTTACTTTCCATCTTGATTGAATGTCTGGTTGAAAACAAGCATTTCCCCCAATGGGGGAAAACTACTGTAATTTCTTACTGTTAAAATCGAACAGTTTCTATCATAAAAATGTGGCAAGTCTGATCATATAAACTTTTTTTAAAAGGCAAAGCGAGAATATCTTGGAGAGACAGAAGCAGGAGGAGCAGCCACCGCAGTCTGGGCAACTTAGAGATAGTCCAGACAAGAAACCCCAATTCCTTCTGTAGATTCAAGCTTCCTCTTATTTAATTGTCGCCTCATCTGCAGCTCCTCCTCCTCCTCCTCCTCCTCCTCCTCCTGTTTCTCAAAAACAGCCTCACAGACCATTACAGAGAGGGATGCAGAGGTAGAAAGAGCTGTTTGCAAAATAATGGCAATAAAATCAAATAACCATCTGAGTCGGGATGGTGTATGGACCCAAAAGCCTTTTTTCAGGAACAAGCTATCTTTCCAGGATGTGGGCACCACTGCATCATTTAGAGGCATGGAAACAATGGGAATTATATTACGACATACACAACGTGAAATTACAACTGCCAATTTTTTAGCTTTCATATGCAACAAGTTCTTTCCAAGAACCTAGGATTCATAATGTATCAGTGCATTATTGCTGTTGTTGTTAATCTTCAGTTTGATTCACAGTCTGGGAATGGTAAAAACGTAACAATTCAAGTCCTAACCAAGAACCTAAGAGCTGTTAAGGTAGTGTCTGAGTATACAGGTAGTTCCAAGTAGGGTGTTTTTTTTACATGATATTCAAGTCTAATAAGTTCACAATTTCCATGTATCTAGGCAGCCCTGTGGGTACTGCTCCAAGGGCTCCTATTACTATTGGTACATTATTATTGTTATTGTTGCTATTAGTAATAATGGTTGGTATGAAATATTATTATTACTAATAGCAACAATAACAATAATAATGTACCAATAGTAATAGGAGCCCTTGGAGCAATACCCACAGGGCTGCCTAGATACATGGAAATTGTGAACTTATTAGACTTGAATATCATGTAAAAAAAAACACCCTACTTGGAACTACCTGTATACTCAGACACTACCTTAACAGAACCTAAGAGCTGTTAAGGTAGTGTCTGAGTATACAGATAGTTCCAAGTAGGGTGTTTTTTTTACATGATATTCAAGTCTAATAAGTTCGCAATTTCCATGTATCTAGGCAGCTCTGTGGGTACTCTCCAAGGGCTCCTATTATTATTGGTACATTATTATTGTTATTGTTGCTATTAGTAATAATAGTATTTCATACCAACCATGGAGATATTTTGAGATGCAATTTTCCTGAGAAATTGCAGCTGTTTAAACAACAGCAACAACTATTGTTCAATTTTGGCAATCATTGGGTGCAATTTAATAGTGCTGTGGGTCTCTGCAGGGACCATAGTGCCAACTTTCGCCTTATAGAGGTTCTGGGAATGTCATGGTGCTATTTGATGCATTTCTACTCAGAAGTCTAAGGGAATTTAATAAAGCTTATATTCAGGTAAATGGATATAATATTATGACATTATCTCACGTTCTAATTCCACTGTACCAAATTCAATAGAGGTAATAGGAAACTGTCTATTAATCACACGTCTTCCCTTTGAGAAATAAAGCAGGTAAAAGAAAGGAATAAAAGGGTAAGGTGAGATTCTCTTTTTCCTACCTTCCTTTTCCCTTCACCTTTCCTTAGTGTTTTCCTTTAACACAAATAGCAGAAATGAAGTCCAGGAAAAAGGAAAGAAATGGGTAGGAGTATGAGACCTTACCTGCCATCACCTACATGACCTTCTTAATGTAAATAAAATAAAACAAAAGCGAAAGTTCCTTTCCTTTTTTTTAGTGAATAAATTATATGTCTTCCTCTGAAATTCTGGTCAGCCTTCTATCACAAATTCATTTTCTAGCCTTCTTAAAAGTTGGTCATTGCTTCCGGTGGTGTAGCGCTGCGATGGCGGCTACTTTGTAGCTGTCCTCCTGAGACAGCGTTAAAACCACTGAGAACAGCAGGCATCAGCTGTTCCGCGGTTTAAAACCTCCTTCCCGGGCCAAGGGAGGGAGGGGAGTTTCACCCTCAATAGTGGAAGAGCCTCTGAAATCCCCAAAGGAGTTTTCTTTTGGGGTGAAAGGAGTGCTCCCACAGAGTTCAGGGTGTCTCCGCTTCTCAGGTGCCTTTGTCCCTTGTTGTTTGGGACAAAGCAAGACGCCGCTCCCACCTCCGCGCTTAAAGAGAACTGGTGAGTTATTTAAAAAGCGGACAGAGCTGATTAGAGGATTTTACTAATGGCGATTTGAAGTTTTTTTTTTCTTTTTTAAGGAGACGGAACGGATTTTGTCTATTTAATTATTTCTTTTTTCTTTTCTATTTCTATTTTTTTTTCTTATTATAATGATTTTTTTGAAGGAGTATTTGGGTTTTTGGAGTTAATCTCCCTCTCTTTTGTTTAATTCTTTTTTTCTTCTTTTTTTTGTATTTTTTAAGAAGGAGGAAAGAAGAAACATTTTTTTTTTTAAGATGGCTTCAAAGCGCCAAGTAATTTCCACAGTTCCTAAGGTGGCTTCTTCTTTGGCGATATTATCAGCGCAACAACCTAAATCAACATTATTACCTTCTCCTCTTGCACAGTCATTAACGGTAAAAGATTTGCAAGATGTAATGGGAAATGCTATATCTCAAATTAGGGGAGAAGTGAAAGAGATCTTAGTGGAGAATAACAGGATCTTGAGGCAAGATATAGTTTTGGCTTTAAAAGGACTTGCTTCTGTTGTTGAAAAGTTGGATTTTCGTGTTGAAGAAGTTGCAGATAAAGTGGAGGTGTTGGAGGAAAAATTTGAAGGCATGGAAAAAAAGATGGAAAATTCACAAGATGCGATTCTTATGTTTCAATATAGAGAGATGGAGTTTGCTTTAAGAATCAGAGGCTTGAGAGAAAATTTGCAAGGAGATCTGAGAGAGATGGTTGCAAATGACTTTGCTGTGATTTTGGATAGAGAAAAAGAGGAAATATTCAGAGAAATTGAAAAAATATTTAGAGTTAACTCTTGGGTTGCAAAGCAAAGAAATTTGCCAAGGGATGTGGTAATTTACTTTGGGAAAAGATCCCTGCACAATGAAATTATACAAGCTTTTTACAATAAGAGGTTTCAGATTGCTGCACAAGATGTTATAATTTTAAAGGAGATCCCATCTAAAATTTTAAGAAGAAGAAAGGAGTTTGCTTTTTTAGCAGATGAACTTAAAAAGAGGCAGATGCCGTTTAGATGGGATATTCCGATTGGAATAATGGTGAGCTATGCGGGGATACGTCATAGACTTAACGCTGTTTTTAAAGCAAAGGAGTTTTATACTTCGGTCCTGGGAGCACGCTTTTCACCACCTATAATGTTTAAAGTTTCGGAAGAGAAGAAGGTAGAACAGCAGTCTGAAGAAGCTGTATTGATGAAAGTTGGAAAATTACAGACTGAGGGGTCTCAACAAGTCGAGATGAAGGAGCAGAGAATGACTCGGGCAATATACAAACGCAAGGAAAAGGAACAACAGAAAAAGGAGGCTAAAGAAGTACTACAAGAATTTGTTTCTGAGTCTGTGGGAGAAGCAAGATCTAAGAGTTCTTTGGTGCAATCTTCAATGGCAGATCTTCAAGCAGCTTTCTCGAGGTTATTGGATAAGACAGATGGGTAAAGAATGTAAAGATTGTTCCAAGGTTATTGACAGATTATAGCTCATTGCGGATGGAACTGGTTATTGGAAAAGAGGAGATAAGATTATGGAGACTGAATGAAAACTTTAGATAAGAAGTGTATGCTTAGAAACTTAAGGAGTATTTAAAGGAATATTTTGTTTTAAATATGTATAAGTGGATTTCAATGGTATAAGTAACGCTTATATGTGTGTTGATTGTGATGACAAAGAAAGATGGATAAACTTTATATAATATAAGTATGATATTAGAAAATATTGTTTAGCTTTTTGAATAATTTATATTTAAATTTATACTTAAAGTTTATAATATTTTAATGGCGGACTAGATTCCAATTAATTTACTTTATATTTGTAATGTTATTAAATTAGGGAGATGATTGGTTTGTTAATTGTGAAAGAAACAGAAGTTGTGAATTATAGATAAAATAAACTATAATGGTAAATTGGTAGGATTGTAATGACAAAGAAATTATTTTAATGTTAATTTCTTTCTTCTTTTTCTCTTTCTGTTTTTCATATATAATGGAGTTAAAGTACTTAATAATTCGTTTATTGAATGTAATTATATTTGTTTGAAGTTTATTTGAGTTTAAAAGTTTTTCTTTTTAAGTTCTAGTTAATCCTGTATTCAGCTCTGGGAAGAAGGGGGGAGGGTTTTGGGGAGGGTTGGGAGGGATTGGGGTAGGGGTTTTTTATTGTAAAATTGTAAAAATGTATAATAATAATAATAATAATAAAAAGTTGGTCATTGCTGATCCACAATATCAAAATGATGCCATGAGGAACTCTAGACCCTAGATATAATGATCTTATTTGAGAAGGGGGCTCTTATATAGTAATATATATGTTACTTTAAAATGTAATAAGCCAGTCCTTCTGCATTTTGGTGACCTCTTACTTTGTTGAGTGGCAGCCTGGATTTCTGCTCTAAAGCCCTGGCTTAGGGATCCCATTGATGGCTACTAAAGTAGGAAAGCAATAAGGCTGCTTTGACTTTGGAACAAATTTCTGGGAGTCCCAGATATTTTACATGCTAGAGTTCAGTCAATTTTGAAAGTAGACTGAACATAGCTTACAAATACGGACAATACTGATCCAGGAGGAGACTGTTTCTGACTTTTCTCAGTTCTCACTTGCCTTCATCCGACAATAGTCCACCTCCAGGTCTTTGGAAAAATAGTCTTTGGCGCTTTGTGCTCCCTTATGTCTCCTTCCCATGGCCTTCCTCAGATGCGGAGCTGAAGGGAACTCAGCTGGGTGACTGACTTGCAAGTCAGAAGAGTGAGCCCACAGCATCTTCAATTTTGCTTCTCCTGGTCTCCCTGGTTCTGGGTAATGTGGCCAGATGGACTTGCCCCTCTATGAACCCGTCCAGAAGCTGGCTCAGGACGGGTTGTCATGGCAGAGAGGAGACTCTCTTCCCCAGGGTAAAGGATGAAAATCTTATGGTTCTTCCACTCCCAATCACTTGGCAAAGGGGGCTATTTTTCTCAGCCTAGTAAAGCTGAGAAGGAAAAAGATGTTGGTCAGCAGCTGAAGTCATAATGATGCTTCCTGGAGTACTGCTGTGACATATTGGCTTGCCTCAGAATCAACAGGGCTCATTCAAGAGTTGACTGCTGAACAACAGTTGTAGAAGAATGAAGTTACAAAGGGGGTGGCACCCAAGAAGGCTTTATTTAATGTGTATAACTTGCCTTCAAAACAAATTCTTCCATCTTCTCCATGGCATGCTGGGCCTGAAGTGGCAACATCAAAACCCGCACAGGATCTGGACCAATGTCTTCTTCCTCTAACTCTGGATCATCTGATCCCCAACCTGTGGGCTCCACCTTCATTTCCTGAAAAAGAAGATGCATACACTGGCCAATGGAATTCTATAGAAAGAGAGATAATGTGAGAAGAGATAGGACGAATGAAGGAAAACCAGGAATAACATTTCCCTTTTCTGCTATATAGTGCAGTACTCTACTGATAGATTAACAGAGAGGTTCAGGATCCCTTCTCCCTTGATGCAAGGGATAAAGGATAGGCCCAGAAATAAGATAAAGGATTTCCTCCTTCAAAGAATCACAACCCAGAACAACTGGTTTAGATTTGGCTTGCAGGGCTACCCTATCAACCAGCCACTAGATTCAGAGCACCGAGAATCACCTACAGGCTCTATTTGTGAGTTTGCAGTCCACTGCTGTAGACATGCTAGCTTTTCATCTGCTCTGTTGGATATGGCGTTTGCAATGCTACAGTTCGAAGACCAGCAGGAGACAGAATAATGGAACTGATGTTGAGTTGATTCATAAGCCAGACAGAAAAATTACTAGTAAGTGCTGCTCTGGCCAGAAGTCATAGTTTCAGCTTTGAGTTCTGACCTTTCTTGAATCCTCAGCCCAGCAAAGCCATTTTCACATTCTTAGACAAATGTAATTGGCTTTAGAGAACAGAGTTTGGGTCATGATGACTGCACACAAAAGAAAGATGCAGAAGACAGTATGTAATAAGAAGAGAGACCCAGTGGGTGGCCTCCCTGATACTCACCTGGCCAGCATTCTCTTGTAGCAAAGGTCTCATTTCAGCCACAGCCTCCTCCCCCAAGTACCCTGTGCACCACCCAGCCCGCTCCTTCAAGGGCTCCATGTTGGGGGACGAGGGGGGCATACAGTTGAAGCCTCTTCACAGGCAGAGGCTCAGTCCCATCTGCAAGCCACCAGCCCCATCGTCCCCATTGTCTCTGTGAGAAAGCAGAGGGGATAAGGGACGCAGAGGGATGAATCTCTGGATCCTTCTGTTCTCCTTCTCACCTGGTGATCTGCCATTTCTCCCCCTTCAGCTCCTACTTCCCAAACTATCCTGCATGCTTGTCCACAAGAGCTGTGCTAGACATCCTACCCTTCTCCTTTGTCCCCCTGAAATCTCTACCTCTCTTCAGTTACTTCCCCAGTCTCTTTTGTTTTTATTCCTCTAAAATCCCTACCATCCTGTCATTCCTTGTCCCTCTAAAATTTGATAACTTGCTCCCTAGTTGTATTGATCTGAACTCTAAATATTAGTACTCTTCACCCTAACCATTTAAATGACTGCTTGCAACCTGTCCTTGCTCTCAGCAAGGGGCCGGGGAGAGGTTTATCTGCTTCCCCTAGATTCCTAATATGGTACAGAGAAGCAGTAAGATCTGTGCCATCCCATGGTTCACTTCCCAATAGTGGGTGATACACATTTTTTTGAAGATTTGTAAGTGGAATTCAAGGAATACGTGCTTATCTATAGCCATTCCTTGGTCTCCCTTCCTTGCTACCCAAGCATGGTTCACATTTATCATCTCATTACCCCCACAAAACCACTCTTTGGATGTTTCCTTTTGCCCTATAGCATCCCTAGCCATACCTCTTCCCTGTCCCCATTCCCTTGAGGCCCTCCCAAATATTTCTGCCCTCCCTTCCCCTCTCCGTTGCTCCATCACCTTTCTTTCCATTCTATTCTCCCAGCCCTTTCATTATACTCTCACCCAAAAGCCCTAGCAGCAGCAGCGGGACCCAGCTGCCTCTTAAAACCCCGCCTCCCGCTCCGATAAGCCTTGGCACCTGCCCATCAAATTCGGATCACTTCCTGCCAGAAGCCGAGCATCCTCGCTTGCTTGGATTGGGCAACGCGTGGGGAAAAAAATCCGGTGCAGATAACTTCCGGCTGATGCTGGAAGCCTTCCTTTCATTGTTGCCATGGTGATCCTTAAGGAGCGGTACCCTTTGTTTTTGTAGCGTTCGACAAGAAAATGGAAGAACAAATCGTTTTGCAGCTGGTGGGGTGCAAAAGGGGAGGGTAATCTTTTGCATCTCGTGCAGAAGTTAATACGTTTGCAAAAGATCCGGACATTTAATCTCAGGCACAGGTCTGACTGAGGTCTGCCCGCAGAAATCGTGTGTAGGAATTCTGTGCGTGGATAACCCCGTTTTTACGAGGAAAAAAGCGGTATGTGTCGGTTCAGCTGTGTACGTACCGTGTAGGGGAGAGGAATTGTATATCTCGATGCAGTTGCACAATTGAATGAAGGCAGGTTTAAACGCATCCGCCTTGGTTGGGAAAAGTTTGATGTGCTTATGTCTGGGAAAGTTAGACACAGTTCCTAAATCTTCTCCATAATCCCGTTTGAAGGCATCTGTATGAATCAATCGAAGGATTGCCACTGTCCTCCACTGATTACATTCCAGGAGTGGCAATTAAGGCAGCCGGATGGGATCCTTTGGAAGAGCCGTTCAATTTCCACTAGAGCTGTAATTCTCAAGTCCAGAAACTTTTAAGATGCGTGGAAATCAACAATTCCGAGAGTGGAAGTACACGCATTTTAAAGTTGCTGAGAAAGTTGTCGAGAAACGCGACATGACAATGGAACCAATAGTAATTTTATTCGAAAGGAATTGGTGAAACGGGAGTGAAACTGACAAGGAAAAGACATGTGACACAGGTTCCCTGATTAATTTTTTAAAAAAAAAATCCCTACTTGATTTTGCATATTTTAATTAGGCTTGGATTTTCGATTTCCAAACAGGTGTATATTAATGTTTAATATGTCAATCTGCCACTTTTCAATTGAAAACCATCAGAATTTACAAAAGGTTTATGCGAAGGCGGCTGGATTTTGAAGGACGACAGCTGCAATTTCCTAAATATACCTGTAGGAGGCAGAAACAATTGTTATGGCTTAGATTGGACCACCATTTCCTGGAATCATTTTGCAAGTCCTTCCCATATGGTCTAGCGGTTAGGATTCCTGGTTTTCACCCAGGCGGCCCGGGTTCGACTCCCGGTATGGGAAGAAAGATTGTTTTTGTGCTTGTCATTCTGATTTTTAAGAATACTCTTGCAATTTTTTTTCTAATTTCAAAATACCGTATACTTTTCTCTGTCCTTTAAAACCGAAACTATACATATTGAAAATGAAAACGAGAACGAGTGCTACAATATCAAGTTAGATTGCAAGACACAAAATTACGTCTTCTCCCATATGGTCTAGCGGTTAGGATTCCTGGTTTTCACCCAGGCGGCCCGGGTTCGACTCCCGGTATGGGAAAAGTATGTTTTCTTTTTAAATTTTAAAATAGGTTTCTTCCCTTACAAATACTATACTCTTCCTTATTAAAACCATTAAAACCCACTGAAATGTCAAACTTGCTTGATTACAAAAAGAGCAGGGTATCAGGTTCAAAAGTGTTACCTTTCAATATAAGCAAGATTCTTAAAAGAGGACAAACAGAGTTGATACATCAACTGGATAAAAGAAATTTGGAGGTGATTTGTAATAGTTTCCGAGAAATAACCAGATCGTTGATTTGTCAGAGGCTTCATAAAACGCGTCTGCTGTAACTTATAGATATAAAATGGGAAGCTCCTTTTCTTCATTTGAAAAAAAAAAAAGACAGCGACTGCGCAAAAGGTCGTGTTTTTTGTGAATTAGCAAACGTAACGGATTACAGAACACACTTTTACTGTAAAACTCCAACTTTTCCCATACCGGGAGTCGAACCCGGGCCGCCTGGGTGAAAACCAGGAATCCTAACCGCTAGACCATATGGGAGAGGATGTAAAATTGGTTCAGCCACCAAAAGTTCAATCTGATGATCCGGGTTAAATTCTGCCACTACCAGATTCGCAAAGATTAATTCCTCAGGCTGCCCATCGCTGAGTAAGAAAAACCTGGGGCTGCGATTATATATTGTACGCGCACTGCATATGATTACGTGGTAATGTGATATTAATGGATAGACTTTAGGCAACTTCTCTAGGAAAGCGAGCGAGCGAGAGAGACAGACTCCAATTCACTTCGGAGCATGTCAAATCCACATATCGGCCCTTAAGTTTGACGACGTTCGCCTTGAACAAAGGCCTCTTTGGACGACCCTGCGTGTAAACTGTGCTGCCTTGCCGATGCTCGCGATCACTTCTCCAGCAAGGGAATTTCGGACTCAGGAAGGGCGGCAGGCTGGCCTTCTCATGGGCCGCGCTAACCGGACAGAGGAAACCCTTCCCGGGTTTAGTCGCTTTGCTGAAAGCCGGGAAAAAGTGACTCGGAGGTGGGAGAAGAGATACCAGTCCCAGCCTGATCGCTTCTAATGACTCAGCTGGTGCTTAAGGAAGCTAACCCAGATGTGGATCCAAATGCAACTTCCCGTCCACCTCCCCCCCCCCCGTTGCATTCGCCTCTGCTCGAGTCTCCGAAAACTAAGGATTCTCATCACCACCCGTGTTTGCACTATTAATTTATTTGCGTGACAGATTGGAGCTCGTATTGCAACTTTAGGGGCAATTTCAGTGTTACATAAGAAGAGGCACGCGAACTGTAAAAATGTGGTCACTGCGACCTTCTTTTTGCCACGCCAGGCTAGTTTGCCTTTTTAGGATCCCGAACTCAACCTCACCAAGAACAAGGCGCAGGCAAAACCTTTCCCTTGTTTCTCCTTGTCCGCCGCCTCCCCCCTCTCCCAGTTCCGTATCGCAGTACTTTTTGGAAAGCAGCTCTAAAGGCGTAGCGACCCCTATTGAAAGGCTAGGGAAGTACGCCTTTAAAGGTCCCATCTCGTGCAAATCTGGTCCCAGAGCAGCCTTGGGACGCCCGGGCGTTTTTTTCCTCCCCCCCTCCAATGTATTCCTTCTCTCGTTCATGTTCTGTCTACGCACACATGAGAACGAGTTAACTATAAAGAGGCCAAACTGAATAATGTGGCTTCTCTGTTTAAAAAAACACGAATTGTCAGCAACAGTTTTTTTCTAAGATTCACTTCTTTTAGGGTCCCGAGGGACGAAACTGTCCTTCCATTAGTTTTTGATCCACTAACAAAAAGCAGAGGGGTTGCTTTCGTTGTTTTGCTAATGCTCGTGTCTCCACGGTAAATAACTTAGATTTTAGAAAAATGTAAAAGAAAGTTACTTTTCCCATACCGGGAGTCGAACCCGGGCCGCCTGGGTGAAAACCAGGAATCCTAACCGCTAGACCATATGGGAGAAGACTGTTTAAGTTATAACACAATTGGCTGATAAAGATAACAGCTCAATAAAGGTACCCACATAAAGTATTTAAATTTCTTATACCAGTTACTATCCAATTTTTTTAAAAATATTGCTAGCTTTGGTTAGCATCCCTAATGCACCAGGCTATACTTCTCACCCACTCCTCAGGAATAAAATCACTAAACTTGAAAACCTTATTAAGTATTTTCTGATCTAGCTTTTTTCTTGCACTTGGATAGTAGGCTTGACGGTAGTAGGCTTTTTTTTGACTTTTTGTACTAAGACTCAAATATACAAAAGCTTTGTGCTCTGTGAAGAATTGGTATGAATCAGCCAGGTCTTTTTAAAGCTCAGCATAACTAGATGTGTCTGTCTTCTTTTTCTCCCGTCAGGGGGATATGCAGTATGTTTGGTTCATCATGACAAACTCTTGCAACGGAGGTACACCTCTTCAGCATTTGAGCTTACCTTTGTGGGGACCCTTTTGCTCCAATTTGCTGGACCAACTCCAGCAGATATAAGAAGGAACATCCCCACCTGAAACCTACAAATCCAGTTGCCTACTAAAATAGAATAGGCAACCAGTGAGTTTTGAATAAGCTATGATAACTAGCTTTACCCAACAACATACTGATTTAGTGTGATGTCAACTCATTGGTAGCTTTATTAGATTTGAGGCAATTTCCAGTATTCCTCTAGTGCCCTATCCCCCAGTCTCAGTAACTTTAAAAGACTGATTTAGGGGCTTATTTTCAACATCATCATCACAACTTTGTCATTAGAAGAAATTAAATATCAGCAACCACAATAGGCAGAGGACACATTTATATTAAAATTAAAACCATTCCCCTGCATTAGTTTCACTGTTGAACTTTTTCTTAAAGAGATACACATCCAAATAAGGCAATATTTTCTTCAAGATATCTATTTTTCTTCAAGATATCAAATTTTAAAAACCCATCACAAATTAATCATAATCAAAACCTGTAACTCTGTTTTTGGTTTGATAGAAAAGCTTTGTTTATGATGAAAGCATATAAGATATACGAAAATAAGCTACAAATCAAAGACATTTGTTTCAGTACTTAAGAGACATATTGCCTCAGACAAATAAGAAAAAAAGGTAAGATGAAGAATATACTGTATACATTAAGCTAGATTTTTCATCTATGCTTTATTTTAAAATATATACATCCATTTTTAGCTTTGTGCAAACAAATCTTTCTAAACTGCACCTATAACTTACAAAGCCATTAATAATTATAATTATCTTTTACATAGAGATTTAAAAACAGTTTAGAACAATCATGGAGATTTCCAAAACTATTCCAGTAAATATAAGCTATACTTTATAGCTTATATTGTATCAGCAGAGATGATCATTATTGATCAAGGAGAATACTGCTCTTTTCCAGCTACCAGTTTTCGTTTTTTTCCCAGTAGTGACTGGTAATAACTTCGAGTGGCCTCAATTTCACTTTGTATTGAGGCAATTTCTGCAGCAAGGTGGATCCCTGAAACAGGACAAGATGCAAAAGGGGTTATCAATAGGCAAGTCTAAATAGTATTTATAAAAAGAGAAGATCCATTCTACTCTGTCCCTAAATTGGATTGCTTCCAGATATGATAGAATGCCCAACTTCCATGTTGCCAAGCTCTAACTGGGAATCCCAAGAGCCGGAATCTTCATTTATCCATGTGGCATTTTGGTTGGAAAAACTGTTTTATGAATGGTGAAGATCTCTAAAAAGTTCATCTGACTTTAGGTCAGTCACTCTCTCTCTCAGCCCAACCCACCACACAGGGTTGTTGTGAGGAAAATCAGAAGAAGGAGGAGCATTAGTTATGCTCACTGCTTTGAGTTGTTTATAAAAATAATAGACAGGATATAAATTAAATAAATAATAAATATATAAATTACAGATCTGGAGCAATGCCCTTATTGCATGTAGGAAGTGCCACAATATACAATAGTAGGTCTTTTTCTCTTTCCCTTTTTCTTCTTTTTTTTAACTTTTTTCTTTTTATTATAATGATCTCCTTTTGAAGGATTTTTTGATTTTATGGAGTTAATCTCTCTTTTTCTTTTGCTTAACTTTTTTTCCCCCCTTTTTTGGGGGGTAATTTTTAAGGAGGAGTAAAGATTTTTTTAAGATGGCTCCAAAGCGTTCAGTAATTCCTACAGCTCCTAAGGTGGTTTCTTCTTCGGTGTTATCATCAGCGCAACAACCTAAATCAATAGCTTCACCCTCTTCTTTGGCACAGTCAATAATGGTGAAGGATTTGCAAGACATGATGGGAAATGTTATATCTCAAATTAGGGGAGAAATGAAAGAGATTTTAGAGGAAAATAATAAGATTTTGAGGCAAGAGATAGTTTTGGCTTTAAAAGGAGTTGCCTCTGTTCTTGAAAAGCTGAACTTTTGCGTAGAAGAGGAAGAAAAAAAAGTGGAATTGATGGAGGGAAAATTTGAAAGCATGGAAAAAGAGATGGAAAATTTTCAAGATGAGATTCTTATGCTTCAATATAGACAAATGGAATATGCTTTAAGAATTAGAGGCTTGAGAGAGTCTGTGCAAGGAGATCTGAGAGAGATGGTTGCAAATGACTTTGCTGTGATTTTGAATAGAGAAAAAGAGGAAATACTTAGTGAAATTGAAAAAACATTTAGAGTTAACTCTGTGGTGGCAGAGCAAAAGAATTTGCCAAGAGATGTGGTAATTTATTTTGGGAAAAGATCCCTGCGCAATGAAATTATACAAGCTTTTTATAAGAAGAGGTTTCAAATTGCTTCACAAGATGTTATAATTTTAAAGGAGATCCCATCTAAAATTTTAAGAAGAAGAAAGGAGTTTGCTTTTTTAGCAGATGAACTTAAAAAGAGGCGAATCTTGTTCAGATGGGATGTTCCGACTGGAATGGTGGTGAGTTACCTGGGGATACGTTATAGACTTAATACTGTTTCTAAAGCAAAAGACTTTTACACTTTGGTCCTGGGGGTATGTTCATCGCCATCTATTACGTTTAAAGCTTTGGAAGAGAAGAAGGTAGAATTGCAGTCCGAAGAGCCTATACTTATGAAAATTGGGAAATCTCAGTTCGAGGGGCCTCAACAAGTTGAGATGAAGGAGCAGAGGACAACCTGTGCAACATATAAACGTAAAGAAAAGGAGCAACAGAAGAAGGAAATTAAGGAAGTCTCACAAGTATTGGTTCCTGAGTCTGCGGGAGAAGCAAGATTTATAAACTTTTTGGAGCAACCTTTAAGGGCAGATTTCAAAGCACTTCTTTCGAGGTTTATGGATAAGAGAGACTGATAAGGAATGTGTTTATTGTGGATGGAATTGGTTATTGGTAAAGATTTAAATATGTGTAAGGGAATTTTAATTTTTAAAGTAATGTTTAAATTTGTGTTTTGGAGGGAGTTTATAAAGAATGATGGATAATAATATAAGTATGATATTAAAAAATGTTTAGAGTAATGTGTTTAATGATTGTAATTATAAAAAAAATTGGTTTTTTTATTATTATTATTTTTAAGAGAAGATAACTTGTTTAATTTAATGTATTTAGATTTGCTTAGGATTTATATGTGTTTTAAGTTTTTTTTGATAGGAGAGAAGATTATGGAGATTGAATGAAAATTTTAGCTAAGAAGTTTAAGTTTAGCAATTTAAGGAGTATTCAAAAGAGTATTTAGTCTTAATGGTATAATGAATGTTTATATGTTTATTTTTGTGTCTTAGGATAAAGAAAGAGGGAGAGATTAGATTTTATATTGTATGTATAGATATCTAAGGAGTATTTAAAGGATCATTTTGCTTTAAATATGTATAAGGGAATTTTAATGTTTTAAGTAATGTTTAAATTTGTGTTTTGGAGGGAGTTTATAAAGAATGATGGATAATAATATAAGTATGATATTAGAAAATGTTTAGAGTATATTATAACGTGTTTAATGATTGTAATTATTATTTTTAAGAGAAGATAACTTGTTTAATTTAATGTATTTAGATTTGCTTAGGATTTATATGTGTTTTAAGTTTTTTTGAAAAATTTTAACTAAGCCTGTACTCAGCTCTGGGAAGGTCGGGGGAGGGTATGGGAGGTTTGGGGAGGAGGGGGAGGGTATGGGAGGGTTGGGGGGGAATTGTTTTGTAAAAATTAAAAATTTTCAATAAAAAAAATATATACAATAGTAGGTTTGAGCTGAATACCAGAAATTTAGTCTGATTCCTCAGATGGTAACTACCATAATATGAGGAGAACTTGGCCACAGAACAACTCTCCCAATTGATGATCTGCTGCCCAAGTGGCAACTTTCACATAAAAAAACAACGGCTGCATGATAGTATTTATTTCTTAGTTCTTTAGACAAGGAATCAGAAGGGGACAGAAGCGCAAATAGTGTTCATTGTGATTATCCCAGCTGCCATTTTCCTCACCTTCTCGGAAAGTCTTCTGAGCTTGTCGGAGGCTTTGAGGCACAAGGATGCCAAACCAGTTCAGAGGGTCTTGGTGGCCTAAGGTCTCTGCAGGCTGGGATGCTGTATTCTGGGGTTGGGCCGCATTCTCTGTTTTTCCTGGGCCTTTTCGTCGTCGTAGAACTAGAAGCAATCAAACAGTACCTTCAATCAAAGGAGACTGGCAAGCAGGGAAATGGATGTTGTTGAACTACAATTCCCAGGATGCCTATTGTAGGTTATTTTAGAAAGTGCAATTGAACTGTTCTCATCTCTACCTTTGAAGAGTGATTGAGGCTGATTGCTGGTATTTTCAATAGTTACCTTGCATTTGAATGGTTGTATTGTAGTTCTCATATTATTGGGGACAAAGAATTTCTGATTTGTGTTTCTATTATACAGAGCTTATTTTCCCAAATTGTTACATCTTTGGTTTTTATTATTAATATTGTAACCAATAGTAATTTTAAGAGGCATCTGGCAGGAAAAGATTCCAACACACCTTGGCAAAATGGTTGCAGTTTCTTATCAATTTTGATCAAGTGGATTCGAAAATCTTGTGGGTTTTGTTCCTTTACCTTGTTAATTCTTATTTTTTTTTAATATTTTTTTTTTATTTTCCATTTATTCAACATAATACAATTTACAAAATAAGATGAATTCATAACCATTGGTGCCGTTTGCCCATTCCCCCCAGGCTACGTCCACCCTCTCTAATACTTCCCTACTTCCCTCTTCTTTCTCTCCTCCCCTCCAGCTCTATTCCCCTCCCCTTCTCCACTTACCATCCTACTTCCTCCCTGCACCTTCCTCTCCTCTCATCCCTCCAAACACAGGAACGCAGCATAGGGGAAATGCCCAAGCAGCACCTCTCTCATAAACTACCATATCTATATTATCCTTACCTACCCATTCACCCACCCACCCACCCTCAACCCTCCCCCCCTCACTTCCCAGAGCAGAGTACAGGGTTATTAATAAAAAAAATATACAATAAAAAAAAGAAAAAAAAGAAAAAAGAAAAGGAAAGAAAAAAAAGAAAAAAAATCATACTTAGCTCTTAACTCCCCTTAAAGTACATCATCATAAACAAATCTTCTACAACATTTACTATAAAATTTACTCATAAAATAAATGAAACTTTGTAGTCCCATACTTTTTCTGAATATAATCTATCCATCTTCTCCATACAATAATATATCTTTCTTGTGTATGATCCTTCAAATAAGCAGAATTTTTTGCCATTTCTTTAAAATTAGAAACTTTAAATATCCATTCTTCTAAAGTAGGCAACGAATCTTTCTTCCAATATGAGCCTACTAGTAACCTTGCAGCAGTTAATAAATTCAACATTAAAATAGTTTCTTTGTCATTTAAGTCCACAAAAATACCCAATAAGAATAATTGAGGAGTAAACTTTATCTTCTTTTTAAAGATCTTTTGAATGTTCCACCAAATCATAATCCAAAAAGCCTTTACCTTTTTACAATTCCACCAAACGTGAAAATATGTCGCATCCATATTACCACATCTCCAACATTTGGGTTGTAAATTAGAGTACATACAAGATAATTTTTTAGGATCTAAATGCCATCTATAAAACATTTTATAAAAATTTTCCCTCAAATTTTGAGCTTTTGTAAATTTAACATTTCTAATCCGAATTATCTCCCATAAGTCCAATGGGATCGGTTCCTGGATATTCTGAGCCCATTTAATCATACAGTCTTTAACCAATTCTGTTTCCGAGTCTAATTCTATTATAGCATTATAAATTCTTTTTATATGGGCCTGATTCTGGTCTTTAATCTGAATAACCAAATTTTCATCTTCTAATGTTATACCCTCTTTCTTATCTACAGTCCACCTATCCACTATTTGTAAATATTGAAACCATGATTGTAGAATATTTTCTTGCCTTAATACATCTAAGGATTTTAAATGCCAATCCAAACCTGACCAAATTAATAATTCTTTATAATAATTCTTTATTCCTTTACCTTGTTCACTGGGGCCAATCTCTTCCACAAAAGCTGGCCTTTCAACCTTCCCTTTGAAAGAATCTTCTGCAATCACCTGAAACTGAGTCTGCCCATCTTCTGCCTTGCTAAATGGAACCAATAGAGAGTCATATGCAAGATTGAGCATTTAGGAATGGGCAATAGTGATAATCATTATTTGGGGCTCTGTGAGACAGAGATCATTTCAGTTTTCTCTCTCTCTTCCTCCATGGGTGTACATTACATTTGCCCCTATCAATGTTATTCCATAACAAAACTGTGATGTTGATCAGGTTATGAGGGAACTATTGGGTCAAGATTTTCCAAAGAATTTTCCACACCGAATGGAGATTTGAATCTAGCTTTCTCCAGTCCTCATCCCAAAAGCAAAGAAATAAAGCAATCTTTCAGTACTGATTTTATCACAAAGCCATCCAAATGATCCATAGCAAAACTTCTCTCACTTGCCTAAAAGCTTAAGAGAACACAAAGCTCTCATAATTAAAGTATGATTGCATATAGCCAAGTGATACAGTCCCTACTTACAAAGGGAGTTGGATTAACCATTTGTGGAATTATTAGGGTGATCTGATGCTTTGGAACAGCTATTATGGGATGGAGCAATCTTCCCTCATCTGATGCATCTAGCTATTTAATTCCTACCATTCCCCTGCTGAATAGTAATGAAAATATTTTAAATAATCGTTTAAATATTTGCAGGGAGGTTCCAATAAAAAGAACACAAAATAGATGCCATCTGGTTTTAGAAAAATTAAAAAGGCAAGAGCAAAAGACCCTAGTTATTTTTTTTCTCCTTTCATTATACTGGTTAGCTACTTATATTAGCCCCTGGATTAAGAACATTTGATTTACAGACATCTTGCACTTCTGAATGGGCTGGCTATTATTAAAAATGGTGGATGGCATTCTCCTTCCTTGAGATGATGAACCACTGAAGCCGTACAATGTTTTCATAAACCGTTGCAGCCTTGTGAATTTTTAATATTGGATAGTGAGATTGCCAACATATAAATTTAATAATAAATAATATAGAGCCTGTTTTCAGCAGTTCATGAAAACATTGCGTGGTTTCAGTGGTTCATAGGCTTGAGGAAGGAAAACTCTGTTCAGCATTTGTACTAATAGCAGTCTGTTCATAAGTCCAAGTTCTGACTTAGATAGAAATTGGAGATAAAGACAGACAGATGATTGGAACTCATTCTTAACTTGAGGACTGCCTGTATACCCATTTTAACACCAATATCCATTTAATGAGTGGGTCAGTCAACAGGGAGAAGAAAGTAATGAAATTGGAAATCTTCAGAAATTAATAAAAAAGCTATAGATCATTCTAATACTATTGTTCTCTCAATGACAAGATCACACATCAGATTAAACATGGTTGACTGAGTTTATACAACACATTAAGCCATAAACCATAATTCATTAAACACAATGATTGTGTCTGTACAACTAAAAGCAAGGCAACCAGATTTTGGTTTAGCACACGTATCATTGCACTGCCTTTATTCCCTATCATAGAATTTCCCTCCTTGCCAAAATCCAGCAATTTTCCTGCTCACCTAGTTTCTATCCGAATAAGTGGAGTCATCTGGTGTCCATATTGCAGAGTAGATACAGATTTGTTACCCATGGCATAGCGAGATTTGGAGAGTGAGAACCAACCCTGGAGAGGCAAAATCAAAAACACATTACAGCAGTGATCAGATAACTCTCAATGTGAATAGTAACAACTGCCAGAATTCTTAGTCATCATGAAAAGAGAATGAATGATTCTGGATTTTCTGCCATTGGGAAGACAAAGGCAATCTTTATGACACAGTTCCCAAAAAGGAATCAACAGCTCTGCCCAACTGCAGCAACAATTTGGGAAAGGGAAAATGACCCCATCATTTGGCAGCCTGTCTTTGGCCTTTACCCATGTGTGCCATGTTCTCACCTGCTCAACCATGCTATTGAAAGCTTCTCTTTTGGTCTGGAGCATTTCCAGAGCATCAAAAAGGTGAAGGATAATACGGTCCAATTCCTCGCATATTTCAATTTGTCCAACATCTCCTGCGGGAGCCATCTAAATGGAAAATTATGCAATTGATCCTACTTGACCTTGTGTTATACAAGTTTCAAGAGTTTCTGCTATAATAAACATCTATGTTGATGTAAATTATTACTTTATATATTTAACTTCCACATGGTCTTTCCATTAAATAGTGTTCAAAACCTCTTAAAAGGAAAAAATACAAATAAGATCACAAGTTAAGCAATTAAAGCCATTTGCAATTGTATGAGATACATACAACTGGTGGAAGTAGATTCCCTGCCTTTGTCCCAACAACATTTTTTTTCAAAATGTTGTAAAGAAGATGGACAAACCCACTGAATGGGATATGCTCCTGTGGTATTTGAGGATTTTAAAGAGTTCTGACCGATCCATGAGCTTATTCTGCTTCGCTTCACCCGTCATTTCAAGGGGCAGATACTACACGAGGGTTTTGCACCCGTCATTTCAAGGGGCAGATACTACACGAGGGTTTTACTGTGAAGCTAACGAGGGATCTGTGTTGATTTATTAGAGAACTGCAGTGTTACTTACGACACCACAACAAAAGAATCCTGAGATGTCAAAAGCCTCTCACTCTTTCTACCTGCATCTGTGATCGGCTAATCGAAAGAAAGAAAATACCTCCTTAAGCAACTATATCAGAGTAACTTCGTAGCTTTTCCTCTACCGAAGACAGCTTGCCTGCCCAACCTCCCCTAAATTCTCTCCGCTTTTCTCAGTTGACTTCCTGTACTGCTGCCTATGAAACATGACTCCACCTTCTCTTCTTCCACAGCCAATAAGCTCAGAAACGTAAATCTTTGGCCAATTGGCTGTAACCGAGGTAAGAGAAGCGACAATACAGCTTCGAATTTTTCCGGTTGTGAAGCTTTTCGTGTCTCTAGAATGGCGATTGTCAATCGCAGTAATTGTGTGGGCTTCAACTCCAGAGTTCTCCAACCAGCTCGCTTAAGTCCACATAAGTTGAAATTGCTGAGGTGGAGAAACATTGTTCTAGGGCAGGGGTAGGCAACCTTGGCTCTTTTATGACTCGTGGACTTCAACTCCCAGAATTCCATGCTGGTTCAAGAATTCTAGGAGTTGAAGTCCATAAGTCATAAAAGAGCCAAGGTTGCCTATCCCTGTTCTAGACTAAGGCTTAAACAGAAACCATGTCTATTAAGGGAGGTGTTGTTTTTTGTGCAGGCTTATATGTACGCTGTGCCCTCTGATATTTCGGGCAAGGGTGGTGATGGGCTCTCTTTTGAATCGATAAAACTGACCAAAAGAGATTCCCTCCCTCCCCATAGGCCGGGAAATATATGGGTATCGGATCTGGGCTGAACAAATCCAGTGGATCAAAATATTTGCTTTGTGCTGTCTCGCAGTGGTAAGAATGCTGGCAACTCAGTTCCGGTTTCTCTCCGAGAAGCCCCCAAGAGCATTTTCATTTCTCCTTCAGATTAGAATCTATGGGGGCAGAAGAGTGGAAAAATATACGAAATATGAAATAGGATCCGCTAGCTAAATCTTTCTCCCGTATTTATGCTTTTTCGCCTACTCTTGAAAGGGAATCGATCTGGAGAGCGAAAGAAAGAAAGAAAGAAAGAAAGAAAGAAAGAAAGAAAGAAAGAAAGAAAGAAAGAAAGAAAGAAAGAAAGAAAGAAAGAAAGAAAGAAAGAAAGAAAGAAAGAAAGACGAGGGGGAAAAGCCTAGACCCCACTATTTCAATATTCCATTAGAAAAGAAAATCTCAACAACATTACCCGGTATTCAACAGCCTATGAAGCTATAAAGGCACTATGAAGGCCATAAAGCACTATGAAGCCGTATATAAGTCTAAGCGTTAGTGCTATTGCACTTCGGAAGCATCATTAGAATTTGCATCCCATCGTCTGCGCGCGTATTTTAGTGACGTCACCGTGGGTGCGTCGGGCAGGTCTTCTCATTACGTCACCTTCCCTTGTTCTGCCATGTTTGGAGTGGGCCTAAGAAGGCTTCATTTTGGGTTTTCATTCTCATCTGTTATAGGCCGTTTCTCCTGACCAATGAGAACCGACATCAAGGGCGGAAGTGATTGAAAGTGAATCGTAACGTGGTCGAGTTTGGATTGTTCTAGGGGAAATCATGGTAAGAATTTATTTTTGTGCGTCGAGCAATATTTTCTTTTTGGAAAAATGAACAGTAATTGGTTTTGTTTTCTGGTTAAGAGAGGGGAGACAGAATTTCAGTTTAGACTTTGTCCAACGATTCTAATCAATGAAGCCTCGGGACAGTAGACATTCTAGAATCTGACTAATTCGGAGCAAAGAGTATAGATTTTGTATACGCTGTTTAGACGTTACCTGTATTTTAATCAGGCTTCTCGGCCTATTTCTTTTTTAATACATTGAATTACAGTAGTTGGCAATGTTGGTTAGATTTGTTTTTCAATTGTCCCATAATTCTTCAAATGTCTATTTAGCAATCCAACTAAATTTGATGGGATTTATTTCCAAGGAAGCAGTTGTAGGATTACAACCCTAATCTGTTTTAATTGTAGCCTGTCTAAATGCATGTAACTCAAAAGTTAAAATTTCAGGATTTTTAACAAATGTTTCAGGACAGATCCATTTTCTCCCATCACTAAGTATTTTTAAGTCAGAAGGGAAATGGAAAAAAAAAGGTATTAATGAATGTAATTGATGCTTTTGTACTTTTTTAGTTGCGTCGGGAAGCTCGTCAGAGGCGGGAGTATCTTTACCGCAAAGCTCAAGAAGAAAAACTCCGGACTCTCCAAGAAAAGAAAGAAAAAATTAAAAAAGCTCTGGATGGTACATGTTAATGACTTGGAATTGCAATATATAGCAGCAGGATTGTATTTTGTGGGAATGTGAAGTTTGAGGGCCAGTTGGCCTTTAAGTAAGCCCTATTAAACTTAATAGATCCTATATCTAAGAAAGCATGTATAGTTTGCCATATAATTGAACCAATGTGCCTTTTTATTCACTTATTACAATTTTTTCCAATGTTTCCTTCCATTTACTCGAGATTTCTCCTCAAAAGATATCTTCACAAATAATCTTGAGAAGTAGATTAAGTGCACAATTATCCATGAATTAATAGCTTTATGGAGATTTGAAACTAAGTGTCTTTAGTGCTTGTCTGATATTCTAATCAAACAAGGGCTTGGTTTTGAAATATGCTGATTTATTAAGCCATCCAATCTCACATAATTGTTGAAAAGTAATTTTTGAGAAAGCCAATATAGTGTAATGATTGTACTAGGATAAGGAAGACCCAGGTTAAAGACCCGCTTCAGCCCTGGAGTTGACATTTCACCAGGCAGTTTCCCTTTACCAACTTCAAAAGATGTCGATTCTGGGCATAAAATTGGAGGAGAAATAAGACGTACAATTTGTTTTCTGGAAAAAACAATATAATTCTAATACATAAATAAAATAGGTGGGAATAGCTGTTCTTGTAAACTTTTCAAAAGTCTGTTGAAAGAGCTAGGCCTTGCAGTTCTTACAGTATTCACCTAAAACAAATAATGATGGGCATGCTAGCTGGTGAGTGGAGGAATCCTCTCATCCTAGCTTTTCTTCCTCGTAAGGATGGAATTAATCTTATACTTGTCTTATTTTTTCTTTTCCCTATTTGTTTTTTTAATGTTTAGTCTGCTTGAATTATTGTATTTTATATATTCTTTTATACTATACAATCACGGCTGTATTTGTTTTGTGATTTTTACTTTAAATGGTAAACCCTTTAGAATTGTTGGGAATTGGGTGAATCAATAACACAATAATATGGATTTTTACAATTTTTTAAAAGTCATCTGTATTTTTCCCTTCCAGAGAACTGCCTGATTCCCACAGAACTTCGTAAAGAAGCCCTGGTCCTCCAGAAAGCACTTGAGTTTGATGATGGAGGGGCAGAAGGTGAGTGGGTCATTGGAGCCAAACCTCTAAGATACCGTCCCTAACCTGCAGCCCTCTAAATAATTTCTGGGGAACATGTCTATCTCTAGGAAGGTTTGTAATTATAACATTGGCCTGGCAGGAGTCACGAGTCATGTGGATGATGAATATCGCTGGGCTGGAGTGGAGGATCCCCGTATTATGGTTACCACCTCCCGAGACCCCAGCTCCCGCCTCAAGATGTTTGCCAAAGTAAGTAAATAGCAAATGCTTTGTCCTGCTTTAGATGGAGGCACAAGTTTAGAAAGCAGGTTGATGGGGCAGGCTTGGCTGAGTGGTTTAGTAAAAGTCTTACTTTGCTCATCGGAGGACCTGCAGTCTTTCTGGGAATATTTCATACCAAATCTGGCTACCGGCCTGTAAGAAGGGAAACTGATTGAACAGCTTTACTTTGAGCCGGACCTCAACTCAGTTCAGCTCAGTCCTGGGCAGTTAGGAGATCAAAGCAAATGGTTTAACAGAGACTCTGTGCCAGGGGATCACCTAAGATCTCAGCTCAAGCTTTCCAGATTAAAAAAAAAATCCTTTCAGTAGAGTGAATCTAACCTGTGTTATCATTAGGTACGGTGATATTGGTTGCTTCTGCTGATTGTAAATGGCTCCTTATAATTTCATGTGTTGTTCCCGTGTTCTGTTTAGGAAGTGAAACTAGTTTTCCCTGGGGCCCAGCGAATGAACCGGGGCAGGCATGAAGTGGGTGCTTTGGTCCGTGCCTGCAAAGCCAATGGGGTCACCGACCTGCTGGTGGTGCATGAGCACAGAGGGGTGCCAGGTAAGTGTTTTGCAAGGAGTACAGACTAGATAATTGTGGTTTGCATCCTGTAGCTATGAGAGCATATCTGGCAGAGATTCAATGGTCATTTTATTTCATTTGTCCTGGACTTGAGGAGGGCAGTTTGATGGAATCATATAGAACAGGGGTCTCAAACTGCCAGCCCATGGGCTGGACGCATCACACGGAAGCTGCGCCCACCCCATTGCCAGCAATGACAAACCTCCCGATACATTGTGCAACGTTACATGACATCGCGAGTTTGACATGTCTGATATAGAAGGTGCAGCTTTGCTCATTTGGAAATGGGCTGAAGTTGCTTGTTTGATGTCAAATCTATCGGCAATGGCTCTATTCTTCAGAAGCAATTTAATGCCTTCCAGATACTTTGTTATAGTCCAACAACCCTTTGCTAGCTTTCCTCAGGTTGATGAGAGCTGAAATCCAGTATGCTGCTTACTTGACTCGGTAGAAGTTAACATTTAGTGGTAAAGTATATAGGCTGTGTACCCACCTACTCCCAGGTTCAGTGGCCAGCATCTCCAGGTAGAGTTGGGAAGACTTGCATCTGAAGCTTTTGATGATGCTGACCTAGGTGGAGTAGCTGGTTATAAGCAGAATTGGTGGATAATGCATGATTCCCACACATCAGGCCGTGTCATATCTTTTTTCAATGGGTTTATTTTCTTCCATAGATAGCAACTGGGCCTAACTAGTTTTCTCCTTGTTCCCACTTCTTCATTACTTAGATGGACTCATAGTCAGCCATCTGCCTTTTGGCCCCACTGCCTACTTCACCCTTTGCAACGTGGTCATGCGCCATGATATCCCAGACATTGGCACTATGTCAGAAGCCAACCCCCACCTCATCTTCCACAATTTCACATCTCGTCTTGGACAGAGGGTAAGAAGAAGTGGTAGATCAGAATGTTGTTTCCTCGGTGTTAGAGAACTGTTTAGATTGAAATTGAAAATCAAAATGGAGAAGGTAGCTCTCCAGGTCTGCAAAAAAAAAAGGGCTGCATCTGAGGGATGGCAGGACAGGAAATCTTTTTTGACTCTGCA